TCTTGATACTTCTTTACATGTTCTTTCTGGCCAAAAGACTAAACTTGTTGCTGCTTCCAGTTCTGATTAGAGTGGTATCTGGTTCCAGGATTTCCTGTCCTGGTCCTGGATTCCCATCCCAATTCCCATCCCAAGGACAGGATTGGGTTGAAGCTCAGCTCAATGAGATGGGACTGGGTTGCTTAACAGCATATTGAGACAGTTCTGTGGGAGCTAAGATTGGGATGGAATTGGGACCAGGATTAAAATCTAGCTAGTAGAATGAGCCTGGGACCTGGTATGATAAAATAGAATAAGACCAGAATTTCAATATTGTATATAGGATAGAACCAGTAAAGTGTAGAATGGGATTAGAATTTCTGGTCCCATTTATGTTGTCAAAAGATAACAAAATTTGGTAATAATCTTAACATAATTTTATCAATTTATTCAACTTTGAAAAAGTAACAAATTTTAGTAATACTTTTTGCATAATTGAATTATATTGCAAGCTATTAGCTACTTGAGTCTATCTATTGATAATATTAATGTATTTCCTGTTTCTTATCTGGATTGAGTAGTGGATTTAGCAGGCTTGCAATCTCTTTCCATACAATCTCTAAAGTATCTTGATTATCTTGATTATCTTGAATGACTTTCTTGACCAACTTCTTATAAAATATAAGTGCTTTATTCAGCATATGCATCTTGTCTTTATGTTTAAGCAGTATAATCTTCTTGATTGTAGATGCATGAAGCTATAATTATTGATAATAACATGTATTCTGAGTAATATTGAAAACCTATTCTACTTCAACTTCTGTTAAAGATATAGCCAGAATATTTCTTGTCATCTGAGCAACAGTTGGAAAATCAGACTCTAGCATTCTCTATTGTTCCAGAATTAGAGCTTGAGATAATATTAAATTCTCATCATTTAAATATTGCTTTGTTTTATTTTGGAAATTTGCTCATCTTTAATAAAGTCTTTCAAAAATCATTTGCTCAATATTCTAAAGAAGTTAGCAGAGAGAAAATCAGAATAATATTTATAACAAACATATATTATTTACATTAAGTATTACTTCTCTTGGCTGTTTATATTTCTTATAATACTTTTTGTAAAATCTTAAAATATATTATCAGTATGTTTTATGCTCATCACTAGTCCAATTCTCTGAATTATATACTCTTATGTAGTGTGATGAATGAAGGGCAGCAGCTACAGCTAGCAGCTCATCTTTTGAATGCTTAGTATCGCTATAGTATTTCTGGAATTTCAAGTTAGCAGCTTTGATAGCTTCTTCAACATTCTCTCTTATTGTTAACTGCTGGATCTTGTTCTTCTCTCTTTCTAAATGTTGAAAAAGATGATTGTAGATTACCCATATCAGATAAATTATTAGGTCTGTTGTTTTGGATAGTATCTTGATAAATCAACTGAATGACTGCAACAATCTAACTATATACTCTAGCTGCTTCCAGTCATGGTCCAATAAGCAAAGTCTTTGATATTTTGGTGATGAGTTGTGAATTCATAAGTTCACAGCTTGTTAAAGTAACAAGATACAAACACATATCTTATAGATGAAATTCCATCTTGTATGAACATCTTGAATTATCTTGTACTAATTCTCTTGTTAATATTCTTGAAAACATGCAGCAAGTTAAAGAAACACATTGATTGCATTGGCAATAAGATAAATTTATTGTTAAGCAAAGATTAGTAAATTAACTCAAGTATATCAAGACTGTTACCAAATTTTGTTATCTTTCTAAGAGTATTTACAAATGTGTCTGTTGATACTAGATCATCAGTAATTAAGCTCTCATCAAAAATAGTGGATAAAGCATTATTATCTGGCTGAACCTTGAGATTGCAAACCAGCTCTCAAATTACAAGTTAAATCACATAAGCAAGACAGAGTATTGTCTCACTCTTTATATTTTAATTAGTTATCTTGTTTAACTACTGCAATGCTGGTATTAACTGATGTGTAAAATGTGCTTATATAGTATTATTATTTGATGCATTATCACTTGTAATTATAAGAAGATTGCTCTCAAGTCTTTATACTGCTAATAATTGTTGGAGAATTTCTACTATATTCTTGTTAGTATAAGTACTCTTTAAACTTTCAAAACTCAGTAAATACTTACAGTACTTCTAATTCTTCATAATGTAATAACTATTAATTGCTATAAAGATAAGATTATTGGAACTTGTTCAATTATTCACTGTTAGAAATATCTTGATTATTGAGTTATGATTAAAGAAAAGATTTTGAAATAGCTAATTGTATATATTATTTATAATCTGATATAATGTTTCTTATGTGGGTATCTGTAATACTATTACAGAGTTGAGCATGATTATTAATATGCAGAATGCTGAATTCTTAATAGCACAAAATGAGAGATTCAAGAATATTAATATTTGCACAAGCTGCTGGAGAAAATTATCTTAATTATATTTGAGAACAGGCAGATCTGAATCTATTTGAGAACACTTCAGAAACTGTTGCTAAGACATCAGAATTGTTACTATAATTTATTACATTTGTGAAATTAAAATCTGTGATTTACTATTATGTTAACCAGAGTGTTACCCTGTCTGTCACTAGTTTTCATACAATCTTTACTAATTAAATGCTTCTTCAGACCACTTGTACTATTCTGAGAAAAGCTTAAATAAGTGAGAAAGATTTGGCAATGCTTGCAAATCATTCCTGGAGTACTCTTAGAATACTCTGCTATTTGATCAAATTTTGGCCAAAAATCAAAATGGTGTTGCCTTGTCTTTCAGTTGAGATCACCATGCTTCTTATTCTTAACTAACTGAGCAGCTTCAGTAGTCAACCACTAAGTAATAAACAACTTATAATATAGCTTCTTCTACAATACAAATTATTTTTTACCATGTTGAACTATGGTCAATTCTGAAGAAATCTCTGTAGATTTTGCTTGTTTGCTGGCTTCAGCTATTAATTAAATTTTTTTTTTCACAATCAAATTAAATTTTCTCAGAGTTCTGCCTTAGTCAAAAAAGTAATAAAATTTGGTAACAGTCCAAGCAAAATTTGACAATTCCCAGCTAGTTAGACTTATTCTACTCTGTACAGTAATCAAACTACAAAGAATCATCATTATCTACAAAATAGAACATTCTTCTTCAGGAAAATAAAACATTTTGCCAATTTAATGGCACCTCATTCTCAAATTAATATAAGAAAAGAACTAAAAACCTAATTTCCTGCTCTAGATATTAATATTCCAATCATCATTCATCTCATTGTTCTTCTTATTGTTCTCATCAGAGGACACCACAATCTCAAAATCATCTTTCTCTATCTTTTCTGAAGCAGGTGAGCTGTTGTTATCTTCAATCAGACTTTGTAATTAGCTCAGAAATTCTCTCATCTTCTTCTTAACTCTCTCTCTTGACACACCAACTACAGCAAGATAATTATAATTATAAGCTATAACTCTGATCTCAAGCCTGACTATTATTTGACAGAACTGAGCCTCTTTATATACAGCAATAGAATACTGCATCTGACTTGTTTTGACCTAAATATATCAAAACTGTTATCAAATTTCATTACTTTTGAATTCTATCTTTTTTTCTATCAAGCTTTATTCTTAGTTTTTGTAATCTCTTCTCAGTAATACTTCTTCTCTCCTCTCTCTTCTTTTGCTGAGAGATCATAAGCTGATGCTTATAATACTTCTTTGACTTACTCTTGATAAATTACTTGATTATCAACTCTTTAATAACTTTATCTTTAATCATCTTGTAATTCTTCTTGCTGCTATTCTGTTTGCAATAAATATTAATATAATTCAATACAAACTACTGAGAGTGTATATCACTTATATTTAACTCAGATTCTCTTCAGCATATTATAGTATGTCTTGTAATCTGTCTTTTCTGTCTTGAATATATCTTTTCAATGATCTTTCAAGGTCTGGCAGTGCTTCTGTGCTATACAGGTTTTCTCTTTTATTAAATATTGCTTTGGCCCTATTTTCATAATTGTGTGTGATAAGTTGAATTGAAGGCACTATATAATGAAATTATAGAGTGTATTGACTAAGTACTTGTATAGAATAGTTATTATACACATTGTTTACATTTTACAGATATATTGCTATAAACAAGCTTAATGTGTTATTACTATGCTGGCTACAGAATAATAAGATTATAGAGTGTATTAGTCAAGTACTGTAGAATGGTTACTATACACATTGTTTACATTCTATAGGCATGTTACTATAGGCAAGCTCAATACATTGTTGCTATACTGGCTATAGAATAATAATATTAGATTAGTCTCTCTTTTCTTCTCTTTCTCTTTCTCTTTTTCTTTTTTCTCTTCAAAGCTAACATTAATAATTTTTCTCTCTCTTTTTTTTTATTTACTGCTCTTCAATGTCCCTCTGTATGATGAACTGCACTGTCATAATAAGTCACATTAAGAGATGAGTGCTTGCAGAATACTACTCTGATGCATATTATTTACTGACAAGATGTCAGTTTTCCCCATGCATGTCCATTTCACACAGCTGAAGAGGAGCAGCACAAGACCATATTAAAAGAATAGACTTTGAAGAAGAGTAATTAGTGTAAAGTTAATAAAAATGTTGATCTGACCAACTTTAATTAGAAGAATCTCTGTCTCTGCCCCCCTGTTCAAAATTGGAAGACTGGCACTTATATATCAAAAAGTAATAATTTTTAGTAACAGTCTTGATGCTAATTAGTGAAAATAGATATCATTAAGAAAATCTGCCACTTTCAGAGCTTTACTGAGCTAATCTTTCTGGTGGCTCTGTTTCAGCAATTAATTTAGAAAATTACTTTATTCTATCATCAAGAAGATGAATATCACTGACAATGTACTACTATTAAGTTACTTCAGAAGATAACTAAAGCAATCTTGTGCACTCTATTTAAGTGTAAGTTATTATTAGTAATGGCACCAACAATTATACTAAGTAATATAGGCTCTGTTATAGCAATGGCATACTGTAAGCATGTTATAGTTAACACTGATAATATAAAGCTTGTACTTGGCATCAGTGCCAAGATTGAATCAAACTATTTTAGCCTGATTAATGTGCCTGATCACCCCACCCCTGCCACCACTACTCACTGCCTGTGTGCTACCTCTGCTCCACCAACTACCACTGCCACTACTTCACCACCACCACCACTGCCCACTACTGCCTCTCATCTCTCTCTGGTGCTATCAGGGTCTCTGCCCATCAAATGGCAGGTATTAGAGCCCTTGTCTGGTTCACAAAGCTAGTTCTGGAGGAGCAGGAGAAGGAGAAGAAGAAGAAGAAGAAGGAGAAGAAAAAGAAGAAGAAGAAGAAGAAGAAGAAGTGGGAGAAGAAGAAGAAGAGAAAGAAGAAGGAAGAGAATGATGATGATGATGAAGATGATAATAATAATGATAAACTTGCTATTTAGATAGTTTCTGGTTGTTTGCTGGCTTCAGCTATTAATTAGTATTAATACTTTGTTTCTTTTGAGTTTTGACAATCAAATTAGTTTTTCTAAAAGTTCCATCTTTATCAAAAAAGTAATAAAATTTGGTAACAGTCCACACAAAATTTGATCAGTTTGACTCTTCTCTATGAATTTGACACAATGGGACTAGGAAACCCGATCCCATTCTGGTCCTAATATGGACCCAGCCAGGAAAGAAAATGAGAATCTATCTTCTCTGCTGAGATGAAATGTGGGACATAATTTTCTATTTGAGAATGAGGCCAGGAAATAATTTATAAGATAGGGATAGGAATAAGATCTCAAGCTCTTGGGTGAGATAGAACATGGGACTGAGATTTCATATTTGGGATCCTGGCTGGTTCTAAATTCAGGACCAAGACCAGCTTCAATGGGAAATGGGATCCTGTCCTGGTTCTGAATACCAGCCTAGTTCTAATAAAGAAGCATCAAAATCTTCTTCTGCTTTTGAGTGAGTTTCTCTAAAGCTATATCTCCATCTATCAGCAAATCCCTATCAGGCCCTCCATGCCCCACAAATTTTAGTATAATTTTTCGCGCTGTAGATAGTCTTAGTGCTCTTGGCACCACATAATTGCTCTGGTTTTACTCCAGGCCACATTTTTGATTTTCTTGTTGCTCTGAATTAGCTCTGGTTGAGTTCTTCTATCTGTAATGGCTCCTGCCAGGCTTTACCAAATCATTCTTTCATTATCTCTTTTGCTTACCAAGTCACAGTGCCACTTCTGCCAGTACTTTATACTCTTAGCTGTCTGGAAGTTCTAACTTTATATATTAAAATAAATAATTTCAAGGCTAGTAGCATTCTCATTGTTTGTAAAAACTCATGAAGCTACAATTTAGATATGTAAAAAACTAAAGTACATCATAAATTCTCAGAAACTCTTAATTTCTTGGTGCTACACAGAGGCTGTGTGTGAAGCAGACTTTTATACTTTTAATTGCTAGTATCTGATTTCTTAATTTCCTTGTTACTATTTTCTGTTCCATCTTCTGGTGCCTTATTTTTCTTGTTGTTGTTGTCTGTTTTATCTGAAGATGGCAAGCTGCCAAGATCTGTCAAGAGCAAATTATCAAGATTTATATGTTCACACTCAATAATGAGTAGTGTATCTGGTGTTAGAACTCTGACAGAAAGAGTGAAGTCTTGTAAAGATTTATGTGAACTGTCTGATATCTTCAGATTATCTTCTGTAATTTCTGTAACAGTCTTATTCTCTGATGAATCTGCATGTTGTAGAGGCTGCTCTGGATCTGACTTAGCAAACATCTCATTACTAGGTTTCATTGATGATTGTATTACAAGAAGAGCCTTGCTGGTTATGATCAGCTTCTTTAATGAAACTAACTTAAGTATTCACTAGATCTTTTTTATAATGTTGTCATCTAATTTCAAGTCTGTCATGTTTTTATATTTTAAATGTGAACAAGTTTGTCCAAATATTTTATAATAGAAGGTATTTACTTGTTTGCACACAATATTCTTAATCTTATTCAGTAGATTTATTATAGTATTATTCTGTTTCTTGTTATCTTTCTGATTTTCAACATCTTCTGAAAGTTCATTTAGCTGTATAGCTAGTTTGTCTTTGAGATCATCAAACAAGTTCTGTGTCATGTCAATGATTTGAGGAATCATCTTGTTTACTTGATTAAATTTGACAAAATAATCAAATATATTCATATTATAAAGAATCCAGATCTGTTACTTTTCTGTTTGATCAAGACAGTGAACTCTTTCCATGATCTGTAAAGTAGTGTTCTCATTAATTACTGGTTCAAGCATGGCAATGTCTGAGTAGTAATGATGAATATTAATATCAAGAGAGCAAGTACTGTAATTGGTGACAAAAACTTCAACATTGCTGTCAGAATTATTGAAGGCATCTTGTATTTTTTGTTATTTCTGAGATAACTGGCCTGCTTGCAGTGAAAGAACATTATATTCAAGAAGTTTTAAGAAGATTTTAACATGGAACTTAATAGTCAGATAAGTAACAAAGACTAAAAAACAACATCTCTCATCATCCACAAACTTTTTGAAGAATCTTGAGAAATGTCAGGTATTTCTGTATTGTTAAGCATAAGAATTCTGTGATTCATATGTGATTGACTAAAATACAGAAAATATTGACATCTGTAGTTATTCTGCTTATAAGCCACACAATTTCCTGGAATAAGTGGTACTTTTCATTAATGTCTTGAGAAAGATTACTCTTGCACTTTGCAATAGTTAAAGTAAAAAGATTTTTCAAAGCAAATGAAAATGATGCATGTCTGAGCTGGTGATAAACAGTTATATCAAAACCACTTCTAACATTATTTCTGTTCTCAGAAGATTCTTAAGTGTTGTTGATAGTCTCTTTCTTCAGTATCAAAACAAGTTGTAAGTGAATACTATAATACTGTATCAGCTGTTTTATCTATGTTATTTTACACTTGATCATCTGTACACTATAGCTTGAAATATTTCTATCAATAATAATGTGTTAGGAGAACCAGCTGTAGATCACATAGATTTTCCCAGGATTTGGGGTATGAAAGAGCTAAGTAGGTTTGATGCCTGCAACTGATGAAAGAGATTTGGGTGTAGAATGTAGAAGTTCTCCAACTAGAAGACTGAATACTGAGATCTTTATAATCTGTACAAATTGTGTGATTCTTATATGTTCAGAGTTGGGGTCATGTAAGTATTTCTGAACATCTGATGTTGTCTGATACTTGGTTGATTTAGATTTATGTTTGTAACACTATCCCTCTCCTCAGAGGTCTTGGACTCTGAGGCATAGAGCTACTGAAGTGATTTTTTGTATGTTGTCATTACTTTCTCTGTTATTGGTGAAGTATTATAGATTCTTGAATGTGCAAGCTTCTGCATTTCTACTGCTTATCTATATAAACATCCTGCATGTGTATTGCTGCTAGTTGTAGTAGACATTCTTTGTTGTAGAACAGTAATTATTTTATTATAAAAGTTTAGTATTTTATTACATACTTGTTTCTTTGTTTGTTTGTCTGTCTGATTGCTATATTACTTGTTGTCTGTTATTATGTTATCTATTAACAAGTTATAGAACTAGCAACTTTAATGTGTTATAATGTAAGTATAAATAGAGAGTTCTTTACTCTCTTCTTTCTTCTCTTTTCTCTACTCTATCTGGATGTGAGTGTTGCTCTTTTTTTGATTTTTAACTTGTCATAATATTATTGTCAAAAGATTCTGTTCTCTATAATGAAGAGGATATTCTTCTGTGCTCTGTTTGCATATACTCTATATTCATAAACTGTTTGAATGAAGATAAGCTATATATATAAAATGCTGAGAAGAAATTGTGTACATATTACTTAGAATATCAAATCTGTATCTGTTATAATATATATATGTCTTCATCTGTCCCTTTTATTGTTCTGACATAGATATAGATTTCAGAATCTGCTGTTGAACTAGTTTGTTGGCTCTTACAACTTTAAGAAAAATACTATAGTTTTGATACAGCTGATTTATATTGTCTGTACAATATCAAGTGCATGAGTATACTTGTGTGTGAATTTTGTGAGCTTGATTCAGAAGTCACTAAACATTACTACTGCCAGATTACTTTTATTATTAAAGAATCTTCTATAAAATATTATTGTCCTGTCTTATGTCATATAGTCAAGACTGTGGATCTTGTTTCTGAAATGAAATCTGTTAAAGATGATCCATCTAAACTTTCTTATATGATTACCTCCATGTCTATTGTTTTGTCACATATAGAGAATAAGATTGGAAATGTCTGAGTCTTACTTGATTACTTTACTGCTTGTTTAACAGATAAAGCCAAAACTCTTTAAGATATTACTGAAACTAGTCTTGTAGATTTTCTTCATCATCTTTACTTATTATTGAACTAACTTCTGTCTAAACCAATCTTATATCTTCTATAGATTGTCTTGTTGATATTATCTTGCCTGGTTTTTAAAGTGTTGTAGAGATACTTTGTTCTTCTTGTAATTCTTTATTTATTATATTTACTTCTGCTGCAGTGCTGTTCATTATTATATCAAATGTACCAGCAACTCCCAAGCCTTGCTTGTTTATAACTGGTTCACCACTATTGTGACTGTGTCTTGAGTGCTCTTGTAATACATTTTTTTGCTGTTAAATTCTTTGTTTTGTTGGTATGTTGTAGTCTTCATGTTTGTTTTGTGTTATATTTATCTTTCTTGATGTATGTAGATTTGTTTATCTTCTGGTAATTATATCTTTACTTTAGGTAATTCTTAAAAGTCTTTTGTGCATTTTTGAGATTTTTCTCAGATTCTCACATTAATTCCTTTATAGAAAATTCTTTCCACTTCACTAGGTAATGTCTCTTGTGATAGTGCACTTTATTCTCTAAGATTTTATCTACTTTCTACTCATGATGGTCATCTACCAGTACCACAGAAGAATATGCTGGCACCTCACTCTTTCTTGTGTGATATAATTTCAACAATTAGACATAGAAAACATCATAAATCTGGTAACTCAGAAGAAGCTTCAGTTGATATATATTATTTTCTATGGCCTCTAATACTGAGAAGAGTCTATAGTACTTGTCATCTAATTTCTTGCAAGAATATATTATTTATAGGTTTCTTGATAATAACATCACTTCATCATCAGGTGCATATATCTTGTCTTAACATCTTTAGTTATAGAACTGTGCTTGGTTCTTTTTTGCTTTTATCAAATATTCTATCAGACTATTTCTTAATACAGAGATCATTCTTAGTCTTCTGTTGAGTGTTATCTGTATGTTATTGTCAGATAACTTCTGAATCTTATCTGGTTCTCTAGATTCAAAGCTGTACATTGCTTTAAATAGAGATATATACATTACAGAGTGTTCTGACCTGTTATATGCAAATTCTGCATACACAAGCCACTTCTCCCAATTATCTTGTCTATAACTACA